AACTATGACTTTTAAGGTATCAAAGATTTACGAACGAAATAAGAAAAACAGTTGAAAATTCGAGTTGTATTTTATCAGATTAATCATGTTATCACCATCAACTAATAGAATTTCAAGCTTTTAGTTACTAAATTTTCTTGTTCGTCATAAAAATGCACTTATCATTTATATACTGAAACCTAAAGGTGCAAACTTTCTTGTGGTTCTTGGTTAGAACTGCTTTTTCAAGAGGTCTTGCACTCTCTTTCATCACTTTATTTCCAATTGATATTCTGTAATCCAAGATTATTTGACACGAAATGTTTCATTAAAGCCAAAGCAGCAATGTCAAGAACACGAGTAGCAAATTCTAGATAAAAAAGATCAAGTAAAATGGCCAGTGTCAAAGGAATTAATTCTTACCGAAGTTTTGTCAATAAGCGTACGATTGTTTGTTGTGGTGACCGTAGCTCTGTGCTATAAATAACAAATGTTGGTATGACAGAAACATAATTACTTGAACTGCTCACGATACAGTGCTGTAAACATGTAATTTTCATAGCTTTTGAAATGATATGAACTATCAATATTAATAAGAGGTTATTTAATTTATTCATTGTCTTCCGAACTAAGCATATTTAACTCTTTCTTAATTTTTTTTTAAATTTTTTCTGTTATTTTATAAATTTTATTTCGCATGTCTCAAGCTAATGTTTAATAATACTAATACTCATTAATAGGTTTAAAAAATTTTCGACGAAAAGCATCTCGTAGGCTTGCGAATCAGATGGTATGAATCATTTTTCATTAGGAAGAACGTGAAATAAAAGTACATTCAGAAATTCAAAATAAATATCGGAGAAGCAAATATCACATAAAGAACATTTTCATGTTGGATTTGGCAATTAGTGAAAGAGTAAAGAGCACGAATCAATAGAATCGATTAGCATTGGGTATTGAACGTTTACATCAAACGATCATTATGCTGAACATAATATATTTGGTGGGAAAGAAAAATCAGTTTGAGCTTCAAAATCTAAATAATCATTAGATTTTACATCACAAGAGGTAGTATGTAACATCAACATTCGTGTTGCAAGCATTATCAGTTTTTTTATTCGTCTAAAGTAAGATGTAAACGAACAGTAAGTTTCTGAATATTGCCAATAGCGTATATTACATAGAGTCAAACAACACTCAATGTATTTGCAACGACCACCATGAAATTGGCTCGAACAAGAATGACAATGACATGGAGTTGTCTTCTTCGAAGCTTGTATCAGAAGCAAAGTACAATCAGCTTTGATGTATAAATTATCAATGTCACCATGGATCATATATTTAAAAAGTGATTTTCATGACCACACGATTCGGCAAAGAAGTAGGAAGAAAAAAATGACGACCACGTTTTGTTGAAGATAAAATAATTCAGATTACCACGAATAGAACGTTGTTTACATAAACAAGTTTGTCGTTCTTTATCTATCATACTAAGGCTCTGTATACACGGTATCCAATAAGTCACTGAACAAGAAAAAAATTGAATATCTCTTTCATATTTTGGTTAAATGGGCTGATTTTTTAACCACTGATAAAGCACAATTCATAGTTCATATTCATAATACAAACGTTAAAAAGTACTGCTTCTAAGCATCGTTGTTGCCTTCTAACCTTTCGCAAGCTATAAAATAGAATATATTTATTTCCATGTAAAAAAATGAAGGACCTACCTAATTTTCCAAATTACTTCTCCACACTATTGCCGTCTGATCTCAAATTTATACCACAGGTACATGTCTTGTTACTTAGTATATTCTCAAAGTTTCAGCCATAAACAGCTAGATTTTGTTGAGAAAAATGTAAATGTGTCTCGGGTAGACTTGTCTAGTTGGAATCAATATTTGTTAGAATGCTTGTGCAGCTACCCTTTTTGTTTCAATTCGAATTCTTGGCTGGTGGTTAGGTGTCTGAAATTCTCGTTTTTAAAGTAGCCCAACTAACAGTTAACCACTATCCAAGCATTCAAATTGAACCAAAAATGAGAGCATGACAAGTATTGCAAGAAATTTTGATTTTTATCACGCAAAAGCACATGAGGTAAATTTTCAGTTTTCTTAACAAATTCTAGCTATTTAGGGCTGAAACTTGGAGAATACAATAGGTAACAAGATATGTATCTGCTGTACAAATATAATCTAAACTACTAGGTGTGTCCTTTGTTTTTGGTCATAGGAATAACTAGATTGTCTTTTATAACGTGTGAAAGGTAAGAAGGCAGTAACGATGTTTCAAAGCAGTACTTTTTAACGTTTTTATTATGAATACAAGCTACGAACTATGTTTTATCAGTAGTTAAAAAATCAGTCCATTTGATCAGAATATGAAGGAGATACTCAATTTTGTTTTGTTCACTGACTTATTGGACACCCTGTATGCAATTGAAACATGTTTCATTTAAAAGATATCAATACAAAACTTCTCGCGAAAATAAATATCATCTAGAACTATTCAAGATATTTTGTGTGAAAAGAAGCTTTGAAGATGGCAGTCTTTTGACGTGATATCCGTAGTTTTCGATCTTACGATGTGAATTGTGAGAGACTATTAGATATCTGGTTCATTTATTTTGCCTTTAAAAATGTGCCCATAAAAAAGAGCAAACAAATTTGTGTAGATGACAGAAGTTTTGAAGTGGATAGGAGCTTCTTTACGAAGCTACGCTATATGGACTTTTGAGAAACTCCTATATATAGTACAAAATCGAGTTTGACCATGACGTGGGTGCAGAAGTTAGATGCTGGTGTAGGTACGAGAATCTTGATGCGTGAGTGTAGTGGGGATCCAAGTGCGAATGTCCGTTTGCGGGTGTGTCGAGGTAGGTATTGGCATCAATATTATCTTCGCCAAATACCCAACCATACGCTAGCACATTCACGCTCACATTGACTTTCACAAACATCGACCGATGCACCCTAAGTCAATAACAAACCAACGCGAACAGCTACATTTACATGGCAGACGTAGATTTGCACCCAAACCCACTCGCCACCATTTACTCACACTCAGCCAGATCGAGCACATTCGCATGCTCCCGCTGTCCTCCCACCCACAGGCATCCACAACTACACTCACATCAAAGTCCTCAGGAGGACACCTGCACTCACCAACACACACTATCATCCACAACTATTTCTACGTCCTAGCAAACAGCCAATTCACATCCACACCCACACCCAACTTAAATTTGTGTGAATTGAACTAGAATATAAGTTTGTATCGTATATGTATGATTATATCTTGGTTAATTAAATATTCTTTCGTGATATTTACAGCTTTATATTGTTGTTCATACGTAAGTGTTAATAAATTAAACATTAGTTTTAAAGAAATATTATAACGCAACAAATATAAGCACAGTATTGACAACAGAACAATTTCTGTATTTACTGTTACGTGCGGCTAATGTGCGCTAGTCGAGTACAGGGGAGTATGGAGCAGCCATATTGCTAGTCAAACAGATTTTAGAGTGTTAATCATCTCAACCACTACCTGGCGATAGCCGCCGTCACTTTATAGAGGGGATGTACATTTCGAAGATTTCCATTGTTAGATTGATTGTGTACCTTCTCTCAATAAATTCAATTATGATAAACTTTCTGTGAATGCTACGATACACTTCTTATGTGTCTAGCTTTCGCAATATCTCCTTAACACTCAACTTTCAGTGTATAGTTTAAGTAATTTCAAACTATCATTGTAATTGAATAAGTCTACTACAGTCAATCAATAATGTTTGGCTAGTTGCTATTTGTTGTGACTCGTCGTTACCTTTAGTCATGATTATTCACTGCTAGTAATATCTTGCACACTGTTATGCATAATTTTCAGAGCAATGCATATCGAAAAGAGAACGAATAAGTTTTTGTTAAAGCTGACAACACACATAAACTATAGAACGAAAGAATGATTCATGCAATAACAGACGCAAATGTAACTGACTACTATTTCGCTTATCTCGATTATGTGTCACTACGTACACTTTTCAACAAGATTTTGAACGAATGACGTAAAAGTAAAAAACTCATGACAACAAATCAAGCAAACAAACATAGCTGACTGATTTTCGCCAGCATACAAAAATTATTTAACAAATTAGGCTTTATTCATACGTCATTATTTCAATAAATGTAACAATACATCAAGTGGTACGCACATAGTTACTTATATGTCGATCAATAAAACAGTGAGATAAGAACTGAAAAAGATGATTCAGAATGAAATAAAAATGAAAAATATCACGTATATATACTAAATTTTTCTTACAATAAAAGTATCAACTACGAATAAGTTTATACACTCATTACCAACAACTGATAGCAAGCGAACGATGATCGGAACAAAGCGAACAGCTACTGAAGGAGCGAAAAGCCAGCAAATGCAACTAGAGCTGAAAAATTTTGCTTACTCAGATCCATGCAATGTATCATCTCGAACGCAGTGTGAGTCTATCATTTAGAGATGTACTGACTCTAATCTCAACTAGTTCGGCTTGTTTATTAATCGAGTTCAGGAATTTGAGTTGATAAAGCAGGAATAGATTAACTCTTAGTGCTGTGGAAATGATCTCGATTAGTGCGTTCTTTTTTAATTTTAAGTAAAAAAATGTTACATTCGAACGACACGATCGAGAAACACTCTCGCCGCAAGCACAAGAACTGTTTAATTCTCGAATGGTTTTTGAAAACGATGTCGAGCGAGACTGGTTGCTCACACATGTCCGTAGTACAATGATTTCGATCAAAATTGATGACGAGTCATACCAAATCAACAGCAATTATGTTCTCAGGTTTGTGTCGAATTTTTCTGGTCAGACATGTGACTTATGAATGATTTTGAATAGTGACAACCGACAGTTTGTTCTGATTCTTCATGGCTTCGATGAAACTGAAAATTGGACAACGTGAATTTCTCTTACTTTTTCTTTCACTATAAACAACATAATTTATTGTAGCTGGACAAAAATGATTGAACCACTGTGCCATCGAGGTTTATATTCGGTCATTCTTGTTGATTTACCGGGTTTTGGTGGATCGAGTGGCCGTGATTTAAATCAAGCGAGCTGGAAACGACATGCACCAGAGATTGTTGTTGCTATTCTTTCGAGTTTTCACATTGAAAAATCTGTCAACGTAATTGCTACTTGCGGTATGTCAGTCACATTCTTCTTTAATCTGTGTAATTGTTGATCAAATAGCAGGTGGTTCAGCTACTACGGTACGCACTATCAATCGATATCCTTTATGGTTTCGTAATTGTAATCTCGTATTTACAAACTCTGTAATAGGCGACTTTGGCGAATCAAAAGTCGGGGTAAGATACTTTCGACTCAATCGAATGAGTTCTACATACATCAGTAAAAGATCTAGTATTTTGAGCACAATATTCACAAAGATCGATGAGTCAATCGAATTTTTTTTACGATAAAACTTCACAGTCTATTATGTTCTACACAATATACATAAGAAGTAAACCGACAACGAAATAGGAAAACAACGATATTTGTTTTGTACTTAACCTCTTTTATCAATATAATACACAATCTAAAGGTTCTATAAACTCTGTTCACTTCAATATAACTCAAACGAATTGCCAAATTGCACAGAAATTGAATTAGACCGGTTTCGTAATTTCTTTGTTTTCAAATTAGTTATACAGTGCATCGTTTTTAACTAAAATAACAATTTATTACGGTGTTCGATCAGTTTTGAACAACTCAACATATCAAAAAACCAGAAACAAATTTCATTGTGAATGGGTTAAAGCAGTAAAAATCATTCTTGCATGAATTTTATTCATTATCTTTTTGTCATTAGAAGAAAATTTCTAAACTAACTTTTCATAATTTGTCAACGTTATAAAGACAATCTGTTATTAGTTTTCTTTTATGCCTTCCTATGACATGTGGGAATCAAATACTAGAGAGTCATGAATGACCTGTTTGATCGAATATCTCGTATACAATTTAGGACTTTGAAAAAATTTTAACACAATTCAACATTCATATTGTCGTTCACTGGTTTCCTGATCAAGATCATACACATCACTGTGTGGTAGTTACGACTTTTTTTTTATTCAATTTGAAATTCACTGTATTATCATCAAAATAATGATAGGCATACAAACGATGGAACAAATTACGTCAATCGGGCTTCCGTCATTTACAACTGATCGACTTTGATCCTGTGAAGCAAACGTCACAGCTTGTCTATCCTGAAGTAAGTGTCTCGAATATCGGTCGTTGTGCATCAAAAAATAAGGCAACAGTGTACCAACTCAGTGATGAATACATCCAGATGATTATTAATACGTTGTCACAAAACTGAAGTTTGTGCTTTACTATGTTCGACATAAAAATCGAGAATATGAACAAATTTTTCAGATCGATTCAATAAACATTCAATATCTAACAAACTGTGTGGAGAAGTGAAGTTTTTCGATGATTTAAAGTGCTATGTGTATAGTGAACTTTCCTTGAAATGTCTTTCTGTTCCACTAAGATACGAAAGCGTGCAATAGACGACGGGTTTCATGAAAAAGCTTTTGAAAAATGGCAATATATGTGCAGTGTAATCACAACTAGAGCATACATCATATGTATTTATCGAATGTTCCTATGTATGCTGTCGTTCCATTGTTGTGTGGATGATTTTTTAATCACTTGAACTTACAACAATTGCCTTCATCAAATTGTAGGATGAAAGTATTGATTCATGCTATAAATTAATTCAAAACAGATTCAGTTCAAACCAGAATGATTGGCAGATTTTGGTAAGAAACTTCTCATGAGAAGGAAATTGATCGAGTGTGTCAACTGAACGGTCATTGGCATGTTAAATTCCGTTCGTGACTGATCAATGCTAAAGACAATAAAAACATTGGTGAGTTGAGTGTAGATTCTCTTTGCTACCATCCCTCTATACATACTTACCATGTAACGTCTACCGGTAAGTTTACGACTTCGGTTATCTTGTTAGGAATATTGTATTTTACGTAAATAAAACACTTGAATTCGGCAAAATTTCCTCTTCGTAAATCGTCGTTCACCATAGTTCTCTAATAGTTGGCTAAAGCGAAGCTTTCCTAAACTCTACTTAAGTAAGAACAATCCCATCTAGATATCACTCTCTATGATGAAAATGTTGGATTTAAATTCTGAGTGCTGATCATTTTTCGTTAATAGTAAGAACTAATTAACCATTTTTAATTTAATTATAAGTTAAGATAAAGATCCATCGATGTAATTATGAGTACTCTGGTGACGCATTCTTTGACTTGATTACCGTCTTACATCTAGTACCGAAAAAGTTATTGAAACACATTTATTCGATGGCACTACATAGAAAATTACAAGCAAGAAAAGTGCAACTTTGAATCATTTGGCTAGAATGTCTAAATTGCCGTTGACTAAAGTGTCATCACTTGTGAAGAAAACGATTATATGTTGCAACTAGTCATAGAGTATGGTTTTGTAATTATTATTTTTAAAAATAAAAATATAGGTTCCATCGAAATTTCATGTATTTCATATAATAGTGAAAATAGAGGAATCATAACGCATTAAAGAGATGTAGAGTGCTGATAGTGCTACAAGTACGTATGCAAGGAGACTTTCTCCAAACTGTTTATACAGTGGTATAGTACTGCTGCGCCTAATTTTAATATATCCTAAGTAATCCAAAATGGTAGCATTAAGCTGTTTCCACGCATTTGGAAAGCCCACCGTAGGGAACGGCAAACCAGTTAAATTTCGAAAGTATTCCTGATAGAATCTATTATTTGCTAAGAGTGATTCATCATACGCCCTCTTTGACATTGGAAGAAGATAACGAGGAATGCTACCTGGACTGTCACCACTGCCGACTATGGCTGCCTGCATTCGAGGTGTGCCCATGAATTCAGCAAATAAACGCGAGGCATTCAATATCTCCGCGGACATGTTTCGTCGAAAGACAAATGCGTCAGTAAAAAACAATGGTTGATTGCGAACACTACCAATGGGTATTGGAATCAATTTGATATTTGCATAATCATCTGAGTTGCCATTTTTTAGAATATCAAATAGTGTTTCAGAAAAGCCCAGCATTGCTACAGTCTAATGACGTGCAAATAAAAGGATTGGCATATTACTGTCATGACTAAATGTTCCATCAAGACAATGATTCTCGTCTCCAGATCGATTACAGAGCTCGACAAACTTTCGCATATTTTCAAAAGAGTTCTTCGTGTAAGCATGAAGAGCAAACGCCATAACTTCGGATGAAGAATTATGGCTACCTTGATAGCTAATAATCCACAGACACGGTAGTTCCCAACCCGAATCCAATCTTCCCACTAAACGATAATTGTCTGTGGGTGTACTACCCAGAGTTGCAATAAGCTGATCAATTGTGCTCACGGCAGCTACTCGCTCATCACGAGTGAAAGAGGAAAAATGAGCACATAATATGTGGAAAACCATACACTGCTTGATTGATCTGTACCGAAGCAGCAGCAGCGGAATGCCAATCAGCCTGGCTAGTTAAATTAATAAGTTGTGGAGTAATAAGACCAGCATTAACAAGATCGCCTAGAAGTGTAGTTTCGACTTCAACAACATCGTATCCAATGCCATCGCTCATGAGCCATTTAGTGAGTACGCTCAGATCATTAATATTATCGTTGGCATTAATAGGACGCAATTGAAGATTAATATCAGGATAAACTTGCTTAAACTCGTTCGTGATGAATTGAAGTAGACCTTTGTATTTATCACCACCCGAATCAGGAATGTATTAAGGAGGCGTCTGCTACTGATGTTTTAATTGGCGACACAAGAAGAATTAGTGAAATCTTGACAAATCCTCCGAGACGCATTGTTGACTATTTTAGATGAAAATAAAATATAACAAAGACGAAAACAAAAAAGATGCTCGTTCGACTCTCTAATCAAAAATAAACACTCAGCTCCACTATCTTAAGAATGAAGGTGAGAGTAAGATGGAGCTTTGAATTGATAACTTTTATTCGAGAACACAACATATAAAATAGTTATCACGAGGCGTTTTGATCCAACAAAAGATCACGTCAGATGGTGGTATATATTGTTCTTTCATTGAAGAGAAATGTCAGTTGTCTTAAGGAACCGACAATAAACAAAATAACTTTTCTTTTTATATCGATTCATTTCAGTGAACCTGTCGTAAAAAAGAAAGAACATTTAAGTTGATTATTTTATAGCAAACGGATAGCAAGTAACACCAGATAAAAATATGATGATGAGTTTCAAACAAAAAACAATGATAACAACGAGTTGCAATCGAATAGGACTTAGAACTTTATTGTGCATTATATTGGTTTTCAAATTGTAATCTATTTTCTTATTTTCGCAATCGTTGAAGAATAAAATAAATAATTGATATCTTAAAAAAATACCGAGAAGTATTCTTAAAATTGGTATATTGATTTGCTTGTTCTGAAATAAATTATCTAATTAAACAAAACTACTTTACATTATGAATTAACGATATCATTCTGTTCTCTTATTGGTTAGGATTTGTCAGAAATACCGAGCAAGTGGAAAATAAAAAGAGAAGGACCTAATGTTCATTGAAGAAATAAATGCTTAATTAAGAAACTGATGTCGATAGAAGGTTGGTGGTTACAGATGAGAAAAAGATCCTTATACTCAGCCACATCTACAATCTATCAATTTCGATGATCACCATCTTCTTCATGATTCATGTTGATCCATTTGATAATTTTTAAACCGTACATATGGATCTGAACCCTAAAACACAAATTTCAAACAGATATATTATATAAATAAACACAAGATGTATATTCTGTTGATCTAAATTATTTGTTTTGTTTATTTCTTCATAATAATTAATTTTGTTTGCATTGCAGTAATTAGATGATTCATTTTCAGATTGGAAATATCAGTTCATTTTCACTCTTATTATGTATATAAATCTTGTCTTTAAAGTACGTACAATAATAATACTGTGATCTAGAATTCGTTGTTGTAAGTTTGTCTATAACGTTAACTTTACCATCATCAAATGTATAACCAAATAAAAAGCTATGCAGAACGATTTTTTAAAATTTATGGTTCTGTTCAACAACGAATATGAAACATAAAGAAACCATGTTTATGCATATAATAATTCTAAATTTTTCAAATGCTTATGATAGATTTCTAAATCTTCATTGTTTGTACTTGCAAATAAAACGTGTTCATGCTCATGATGAATTAGGATTCTCATATCTATGCACTTTTTTTTTATGCAGAGTATCCAAAAAATAGAAACGAATACCTTGAAATATTAAAATGTATTTCATATTTCATTTGATAATGACTCGAAAACAAAACAATGTTTCCTTTATGTTCAATCTAGAAGAATCATAATCATTATTTCTATATTTTTACTAGCAGTAATATCCAATATACCAGTAGCAATGACTAGTTTTTAGGAAAACTAACTCCAGGAATCAAAAGCAGACGTGTAAATGAAGGGAGTGTTTTTCCAAACCAAAAACAAATAATAAGAAATCCTTTCACATGAATTTATACCTTCATCTATGTTTTGTGTATAAAAAATTTGCATAATACAGCATTATACGCAATACGATTCAGAGTTAGAAAGGGATAGAATAGATCGACATATTTTATTATTCGAAAATATTGCATGACGACAAATGTTGTAATCTCTTTGTCAAATATCGGCAATATCATAATCATCAATTATGGATGATAATTTTTGCTAGTATATCAAGATAAAAACGTCGTCTTTTTTCAGCGTATAGTTACCTAAGCAATATAATAAAGCAAGATGAGTTACTTTCGATGTTTGTTCAATATCAGATACAGAAAGTAGTACAGAGGATTTTGCTAAACAATCAGTTTGTGTTAATACCCAGAAAGAAAAAACATCAAGAAGCAAACAAAGTTTAATGCTTCCAGTATCGATTGTTGCATTTGACTATATTTGATGCTTCCATCTTTTTCTTAGTATCAATTCAATCGAAATCCTAGGAAGTAACATAACAAACTTATTTTTTCGTAATCATACTTCACATTAGTGTTCTGCATCAAATTTTTATTTTATATGAAAAAGTATCCTATTTGGGTCCTTCCATGAACAGCAACAAGAAGAAGAAATCATCTCAAAATTCTAGAAAAAAGCCAGTGATTCGCGATTTACTTGGTGTCTTTTTGCTTCTAAAATTCAATGAATTTTACTAAGTATACGTTTGTTTGTTGTTGATGGTATTGAAATGGAGCATACTGTTGAGGTCAAACGTTATAATTCTCAATACATGCATGTTCATTCTCTTGTCACTCCCACGCTCTTATATAAATAGGAATTTGCAAAAGTAAAAATATTTTGAAACATCGAGACCTCATTTATTATCAAGTCAGGTCCGAGTATGCGATCATACCGGGACTCGGATAAAAATTCGAACCCGTGCTCCGGGTCGAGCCAAGTACATTGTACCCGATCAGGCTGTAGGACACTACTTTTCATATCTCTTCCTTTTTTTTTTTATCTTTCATCATTTCTTTACCGTCTAAAAAATAGAAATGTAAACAATTTTTATTACCTGTTCTACATTACTTTAAGTGCCCTATCGATTTCTAATTTTATTTAATTTCAGCAATCTTTATTTCATAGAAAATTATCTTACCTATTTGCTTATACCATGAAATATCTAGAAACTAGCTTATGTCTAAAGAAATAAATTTGCAAATACAATGATATAGCTCACTATGTTTCATATGAAAAACATATCAGCTAAATTAGCCTGTTTAATAAAACTTGACATATTTTTCGATTGCGGCATTCAACAAAAGAAAAAGAGTAGCTGTTTACCAAACAACTTTCTCTTATACTTCAAAGTACTTTCTAATCTCTGACAGTCAAGTGTATCTATTTACATTTTTATTTTGCAAACTAATCGTACAATAGACACATTCGTATTGCTTCACATATCGTTTGAATTTATCCATAATTAACTTTAAATTTTCGAATAAAATCTGCAAAGAAAAACCTTTCACATCTATACATTTTCGACATTATTAAATGATCTTTTTATTTAATAAAATAGATTTGTGATAATCCGCTGAAAAAAAATCTTTCATTAGTTTATCTTCGAATTAAATAAATAAAAAAATCAAATCGATTTTCGATTTTATTATTTATTTGGAACAAACAAAAAAATCACTGACAGAAAAGAAAAAAAAGAAATGAACAAAATCAAACTAACACATAATGATAAAAAATAGAAATATATACAAAACAAAACGCGTTATTTTGTATTTGTTATTGATGGATAATGATAATAATTTTGTAAATGTTGTTGATTATATAATAAATATCGTTGTAATGGATTTGAATGTAATAATTGTGCTTTTTGATGATTATGAATTTGTGCCATATAAAATAAATAAAGATAATTTGGATCAATTGTTGTTGGTGTTGGTATTTGTTCATTAATAGTTGGTTTTTCAGGTACACGTTCAATTAATGATTCAATATTTCTTAAATCATTTTTTACAATTGGACGAGTATGA